TATTTCCTTATTTTAAAAATAGGAGTTAACTTATTTGATAATTAAGTTGGAAAAATTGAACTGTTTTAAAAAGCATCACACTTATAAAGGTTTCATATATTGCCCTACAAATATAAAATATTTTTAATTTATTACAACAATTTTAAAATAATTAGGGCATAATCCAGTCGACAATGTAGGAAAATAAAAAGATAAACAAATAAACTTAATAAAAAGATAAACCAATAAACTTAATAAAAAGGTGAGACTGGCTTGCATAAGACGGCCCTGATTACCTTATACCAGTTTTTTTAAAGGTCGACTATTTTTCACAACTTTTTCGGACATGCCCGTCAGACTAGTCTAAAAATTACTGTTCATGGAAAGACCCATCACTATTTTTTTTTACTTAGGTATAAGTGTATGGAGTGATCCACCCATTTTTTTCTAAAGCAGACCTTGGAATAATTCACGTATGTCGGCGTGTACATTTTTTCTTCTTTTTTAGTGTCTGTTTGAATTCTATTGAGAGCCGTGTGTAGTTATAACAAACGTGTCTTTATCGGCCTACCATAGACTTTTTTGTGGACCATTCTTTATAATCCACAGGTTAAAATCCATAAGTTTTTGGAAAATAGCACACACTTTTTATTGCAAATATTCAATTGCAAGATTTTATTCGTAATTATGTAATACTTCAAAAACCTTTCTCTTAATATATTTTCAAAGGTAATACCACAATAGGTGGGAACTTTTTGAGAAAATTTTGTTGTTTCTTTGGAAATTGTATAATTTGTAAGGAAACAGCAAAATGTTCTAAAAAAAAAAAATATATCGCCTCTGTTGCATTTGGAAAGATTATTTATTATAAATAGAACTGTTATAAAAAATATTTTTTTTTCGTAAGATGAAGTCGATTTTGTTTAAAATGTATATTTCAAAAACCAAAACGATTTTTGTCCATTTTTCATAACCTTTTTGACACAAATTGCAGCATGCAGTATTTCCAGATACAGTTTGTTTTGATTGGTGTGTGTAAAATATGATTGTAAAAGATTTTTGTTGGTTGATGTATTGTAGTGTTAAATAATCACTTTAATCTCTTTCAGAGACAGAAACTCCAACAATTCCAGATGCAGTTCAAGAAGTTCGAGGAGCCCAAATTCAACAACTTCTTCGTCCTCTTATTCCTCAAGGTTTGTGATAACACAACCTCATTTTAACAGAAATATTTTTCTAACATAATTATATTGTTAGGTCGCCTTCTAGATCGCGGTCTAGGTCTTCCTCGCCTAAGTACTCTCGTAAAGACAAAGAAAGGTTAAGAGAAGTGGAGGAACGTAGAGTGATATATGTTGGTAGAGTACCGCCTGGCACTACCAGAGATGATTTAAAGAAGAGGTTCAAAAGTTTTGGTCCTATAACGAATGTTAGTTTACACTCAAGAGATCACAGTTATCTGTAAGATATTTTTTATAAATTTACCTTTATACAAAAAACAACACATGTCCAAAACTAGCTTTTTTTCAGGAAACACAAAGAACATTATGTCAGTCCTAATAGATCTCATCAAATGCTCTATATTTGACAGTGAATATCTGTTTGTACATTAGTTTTTTTAAGAAATCACTATTTGTGCCGGTAAATTCAACAATTGGCTACTAATTATTACAGTTAACTCAATTCAGGCATTTTTGGACATCTTCTGTTTTAAAAAAGTTCAATTGATTTGATTGATGTTAGTTTTAGTAGTTTTACCTATGACCATTATGAAAAGCTGACAAAAATATACGAGCTACAGGCTCATTATGCATAGTAAACAAATCGCATGCTAAAAAAATTAACGGTAATCAAAAAACACGGAAAACAAAATGTACAATTATACAAATATTTACACACATATTTATCTGTGCATGTGATCGTAGGTAAACTATAGTATGTAATGCATGTTGTAAAGCAATTTCGCACTTTTGTATGTTTTTTTATACATCCACGTGGATATTATCTATTTTAGACCAAAAAATGGACGTTAATTGCATTCTACTGAATGGATATAATTTCATATCCATTCTAGTGACACTATACGAATTGAAGACCACCACTCACCATTCATATTTTCTGACTGGACTACTATTATGTTTTAATATTTTAATAAGTGACAATTCTGTCAAACTAATTTCAGTATATTTCTTAGTTATGGAGATTAAATATAAATAAAAATGAGGGATTTTTGATGAATAATTTGCAGATTTTCGTTAATGGATTGTGGAATAATTACTGTACAACTTGAGTGAATTGTCCATATCTCGCTCAATTCAATACAATATATTTATTGTTTCTAGAATGGACTATAAAAACGCATCGGATTTTTCAATCTCATTTACGGGAAAACAATAATGGTGTTTATTTTAACAAGAAAATATTGATTTATCCTTTTAATTAAGAATTTAGAAGAAAATTGGGATTGATAAACCATTTTTGATGAAATTCCCCGCCTAAATTCATCCTATAGAATAACTACGTATTGTTACAATGGTACCAAATCTTTTTAAATAATTTGTGTTTTCTTCTCGTAATGCGTAAATTACTTCAGTGGTTTGTACTTTTGTTCTAAATGTCAAGTCTTATTTAACGTTTGTGGACGTTTTTAAATTAGCTCAATCTGCTTTCACAAATCCAGGATTCATGTAAAATACTTACAAACATTTCAGAAGTAAAAAATATAATTGGAAATATTTCAACTATAGAATCCTGAGCTCAAATTATGAAGATTTAACCCAAATCACCTAGATAAAATGTGTCTCCATTCTGAGTTACAGGATGTTTTGTTTAAAAATTTAAAAATTATTTCTGTCCAGTAATTTTAAACTATTTGACGTATTATTGTCATATTTGGCGGGAATTGTAGATACTATACACCCTACTAAATTATGTTAAATAAACGTTTCTGGCTACCGTCAGAGGTGTACGACAGGGGCAAGCGACTGGTTAATCCTTCCAAAATTCTACGCCACTGGCGGAATTGTAATTTTATCACAATTTTTCGATTCTCCAATACTTTCTACGTACATATCATACTCTTTCTTCATAGCGATAAAGTTATTGTTTTTCGAGATATTTTAAGTTAAACATGAAGCTGCACAATTATTTTGTTTTACATTAATTGAGTCAACTATAAATTATTATTGTAAACGCTTTGTATTTCCGAGTGGCATAATTTTTTGTATTTTTGTTTCTTTTAATAGAACTAGTAATTAAATCATACAGCCCATTTATTTCACAGAGAGTGATTAATCACGTTAATATGGAGTAAACAATTAAAAACAAATAATATAAATAAAGGAACATTTTAATAAGAAGAAAATATCAAAAAGCACAGAGAACAATACTTAAAAAACTTTTTATAACAAATGTTCAATGAGACCCCCGTTTACCTCAATAAGTTTATTCATTCTTTCGCTAAACGATCTTCTAACTTTAAAAAATATGTTTGGCTGATTGGCAATAAAATTAATGGAATTTAAAATTTGTTGCCTTAGTTCCTGTCGAGAATTTATTGCTTGGGAATATATTAGTGATTTCATATGATCCCAGAAATAGAAATTTAAGGGATTACAATCGGGACTTTCAGGGGGCCACGTAAATTCACTACCTCTGCCAATCCAACGATGAGGATATTGATGATCGAGATAGTTGTGCACTATTCAAAGATAATGAGGTGGGGCTCCATCCTGCATGAACCACATGTCGCTTCTTCTATTAATCGACAATTCCTCTAGATAATCGAAAAGTGTAGTTTGTAAGAACTGTAAATACGAGTTACCATTCAAATTTTCTGGTAATTTATAAGGACCCAACAAACTATTCTTAAATATACCACACCATACATTTATCTTAAATTCGTGTTGAAAATGTGATTCTCGTAATAGATGGGGATTTTCAATATCCCAATTGTGACCGTTTCTCCAGTTGAAAACTCCTCTACGTGTAAATGTGGCCTCGTCAGTAAACATAATTTTTTCAATAAAATTACGATTTTCATTTTTTTTATTTATCATCCAATGAGCAAAATTCATTCGAAAAGGATAATCTCTAGGCGATAAATTCTGTACCGGTGTAAAGTGGTAAGGTCGTAAATGTTCTTTTTTCAGTATTCGAAAACCTGAGGACTGGCTTACTCTAGTCATTGCTGCTAAACTCCAAGTACTTAGTTCAGGATTATCAGCAACTCTCACTAAAATATCCTCCTGATAGTTAATATTTTCGTTCGTACCATACCACCGCCTAAATTGTCCAGTTTCTCCTTAAAAATATTTCTGAAAATCTGACGATTGGGATGAACTCTATTTGGATAGATTTCTTGATATCTTCGAGCAGCAGTAAGAGAGGAATAATTTTTGTTTACATAAACACAGAGCATGTCTCGCATTTCAAGATTATTAAAATTGTTGTGTCGCGGCATTTTCATTTAATCGATTTTTAAATTTTACATCAATCACAATCTTAAGTATCAGTAACAACTAACAGCAATGATAGCATCCTACTAGATCGAAACAATTAAGTCAGACCAGAGCCAACTACAAAATCTAAGCTTATTTTGAATATGTCGTACTATGAAAGCATGTATCTCGCCAAATATGACAATATTATGTCAAATAGTTTTAAAGTACTGGGCACAAATAATTAAAAAAAAAAACACTGTGTAACAGGAGACACATTTTTGTTAATACGGATTAAAGTTTCATTTGCGTAATAAATGCAATCCAATGTTCCAAAACACCGACATAATTATTAATACACATTAAAATCAAAATAATTGTACAGCTTCATGTTTAACTTAAATTATCTCAAAAAATATTAACTTTATCGCTATGAAGAAAGAGTACAATATTTACATAGGAAGTATTGGAGAATCGAAAAATTGTGATAAAATTGCAATTCCGCCAGTGGCGTAGAATATGGGACGGATTAACCAGTCACTTGCTCCTGTCGTACGCCTCTGATGGTAGCCAGAAACGTTTATTTAACATAATTTAGTAGGATGTATAGTATCTACACTTCCCGCCAAATATGACAATAATACGTCAAATAGTTTTAAAATACTGGACAGTATTAATTTTTAAATAAGACATCCTGTAACTCAGAATAGAGACACATTTTATCTAGGTGATTTGGGTTAAATCTTCATACTTTGAGCACAGGATTCTATAGTTGAAATATTTCCAATTAGTAATGAATCACCCTGTATATGAAGTTTCTGATATTTGGTTTACTAGGGAATATACTAATGTTGCAATTATATTAAGTAAAAAAATCTTGGAATTTTATTATAGGAATTATTATTTATTTAAAATACACATCGACAACTACAATATTTTTAAAATGTACTATCAGTAAATTTTAATCGACGCTACCCTTTTTATTTTGTTGCACACCTCTAAAGGCATTGTCCAGAATTGTTAAAAAAAAGAGCCGACGCCTAATTATTTTTCTATTTCACTCTTCCTACAATACACACAGAGATGGTACTAATAGACATTTGGCAACAAAATTTAAATTTTCTGAATTTATTGGTACACGTCACGGGTCATAGGGGACAAAATTTTCAAGTTCAACAATTATTTCTTCGGTCTCCAGTGATATCTGAACGGCGACATTTTGTTAAAGTACTTTATAAGTGGTAAAGTTTAAAAATGAGTAAGAAAAATAAGTTTATTTTATTTTATAAATTATTAAAAGTAAAATTATTTTTAAAATAGTTATTTTATCTTGACTCCTAAATTAATTTTGTAGATTTTTGTTAGTAGGTTGTAGAAAAAATTAATATAAGCTCAATTGGATTTTCCGTTATACGAGCCCTAACACAAAAATGTTCGGACATCAACTGATTTTTCGTAAAAGTTTGAAAATTTCCTTAAGGGATTCAATATCATGTTTTTCATTTATAAGACATAATATGTATTGTTTTACATGATATTTATGATATTGTTTTCAAATAAACTGATATTGATCAATAAAACTAAGCTACTGTTGATAATAATGCATATTTATTGACACATAAATGTTCGGACAAATCACACCAATAGCTGGTTGCATCTCCCTTTGCCTTAATAACAGCTTTTATTCTATCAGGCATAGTTTTAACAAGCTTTTCGCAATCTTCCGCGGTAAAAGAATCCCATATATTTTGCAATTTTACCCGCAAATCAGAAATGTTGCGCTGTGGATCATTTCTTAATTGCTGCTTAATCTTGTGCCATACAGTTTTGATTATATTTAGATCAGGGCTGCTGGAGGGCCAGTCAAGGACGGAAATATTGTTGTCCTGCAGCCACTTTCTTGTGGTCTTGACTGTATGGCAGGAGGCGCCATCTTGTTGAAAAGTAAAGCTTCCATCAGGTAATAAAATTGGAATTGACACTAACAAATTGGTTTCAAGAATGTTCTGATATTTTTCTGCGTTTACAATTCCGTCTATAAAGTGCAGTTTTCCAATACTGAAACCAGACATGCTTCCCCATACCATAACACCTAATGGAAATTTTATTTTTCTCTTTAGGCAGTCTTTGTGAAAGGCTTCGTTTTTGTTTCTTATAACACGTGATCGATGGTCACCCACGCAAACATCAAATTTTGATTCATCGCTAAAAATGATTCTTTTCCAGTCTTCAAAAGTCCACATTGCCCGTTCCTTTGCCCACGCTAATCGTCTTTTCTTTTGTTTTTCCGTCAGCAACGGCTTTTCTTTTGCCTAAACCAATGATTTCACTGCATAAATATGAGATTTTTCTCAAACGTAACCTACGTACCTCATAAAAATGTAAACAAGTTTCTCGTGAAACATTTCCAATTATTTCTTCATTCCATTTTGCTGTTATTTTCCTTACAGTACTTTGGCGATCAGTTTTACAAATCCGAACAAGAGATCTTTGCATTCGGGAAGTGACTTTGCGTGGCCGACCAGCACCATGTCTTGAAATTTGAGTTGAACCCGTTTCTCCATATTTTTTCACAATATCTGACACCGTGGACTTTGAGACATTTATTTGTTTAGCAATATCCCGAAAGGTTTTTCCTAGGTTACAGTTTTACTATTAATTCTCTAATTACACCATTTGTTGCTTTACCACGCGACATTTTGGAGCCAATTGATAATCGAATTAATTCTCAAGTTAAAATGTCAAAATAGAAACACTTTTTTTGTTTCCATGGCTTGCTATTATTTGTTTTACTGACGTGTCTGAACATTTATGTGTCAGCAAATATTGCATTTTTATCAACATTAGTTTAGTTTTATTAATCAATATTAGTTTATTTGAAAAATTTCATAAATATGATGTAAACAATACATATTATGTCTTATAAATGAAAAACATATGATATTGAATCCCTTAAGGAAATTTTCAAACTTCTTCGCAAAATCAGTTGATGTCCGAACATTTTTGTGTTAGGGCTCGTATATTATATATATTATAGAGAAAATAGACTGTATACTTTGACAACTATCTTTTTTACTATCAATTAAATATGGCAATACCATGACATATCAAGAAAATAAATTTATTAAGCAATATATTTCTATCTATACTAAAGATGAATTAAGGCATACTTAATCTAATACTGCACTATCGCTGCCTTCATAAACCTTTTCAATAACACCTAATGGCCACATACACTTAGATAAATTATTGGTAACGTTTATAAATTGCTAATTTACCTGGTTGGAGATTGGTTTGGTCTACTTATTAGTGTCTTTGAAGGTATTCTCGTAACCAACGTTTCCAAAGTAAGTCAGCTAGTTATTAAAATATGCACATTGTTTTTTAAGAAAAGTTACTTGTTCAGAAAATATACCTTGTGTAACTACTTCCATATATTGTCCAATTAATGTATCATTAGGAGACATGCTAATTTTATCCTGTGGTTCTATAGAGACATTTCCAAATGGTCCACTATTCAAAATGTATTCTATTTCGCAAAATAAAGTATACAATATTTCATAGAATGGATTAATAGCCATCAGAGATCTCTTGAAGCTTCTAAACAAGAATTCCCAACTCTCACCCATATGTGATGTTAATGGGTTTAAAATTCCATCTAATTCCTCTGTTGGCTCCATGAAAATTGGTGCCATTATTCGACCAGAATACCTTTGCATGACCTCTTCTAGATAAAAAACGTCGAATTGCCGTGATACAAGAATATGTTGGTAGGGACGAAGCTATCTCGATATGTACAGCTCTGATAGTTAGGCATCTAAACAGAACCCCCCATCGCTTTTCAAGTCGTGTTCCTACTTTATCACGAATGATCCAAAGTAGTATACACCTACTGTAGAAAAGAGTTTCTCATACTTGAGTAGTCTCTCTTGAGTTAGTGTGCCCATTTTTGGTAGAACTTGTGGCGTCTACAGAAAATGCCACTGTCTTATTATTTTCTTTACCATTTTTCTGACTTTCAGTATCCAACAGTTTCTTCTCAATTCGTTTATTACCGTCTCTGTTCCCTGACGTGCCATTTTCTTGTGGTAATGTAATTATCATCTATACTAGTATAATTACCATCAAGAACAACAGGTTCCTTCTCAATAATGATTATTTTACCAATTTTGGAAAATCTCGGAAGACATTCTGATCACTACGTTTTCATTCTGAAATAGGCTCAGCTTTCTGTGCCTTCCTAGTTTATTTGGAACAGTATTTTTTTCTCAAAGGTCACCTCTCCACGTCACTCCATTTGACCTCATCTACTGATTGAAAAGGAGAGTTAGTACCAATACAATTAAGTTTGGTGATATATCTTTTTACTTTTGCCGTAATTCGTAATAATTTGATCCATGTATAATAAGATTTGTATTTGGATGTACTTTGTGGGCATTCATCAGCAATATTGTCTATTCTTTGATATCAGAACATTCTAAGATTTTACTGACTATGGCTGCAACAAACGTATATAATTTATTATCTGTATTAAGCCAATGTATGAGCCTTTGCAACACCCTAAACTAGACAAACAATCAAATTTATATTTCTATAAATTTCTGTAATATAAAATGCATTTCTCATTACACCGATGCCGCATTTGTATTTGTAGATTTGAGAAAAAACCTGAACGTCGTCTGGCTATAACTAGCACTTCAAATATCTGTTTAGGAATCTCGACAGTCAATGTCGTTGATAGCCTGACGGCAAGGACACACGTCCAGAAAACGTAGATATATGGGTTCGACTCCCGGCGATGACAGGTTTTTTTCAAATATACAAGTATTTGTTTTCACATTTGAGGTCCGCTTTTTATAATGTTTCAAAAACGACCAAAACAAGTTGTATGATGATTTTAATATATTTTAATTTTTTACGGTTATTTGTATTTTTTGTTTAAACCAACTGAACAATTTCAGTGACAATTATGGATTTGTAACTTTTGCGAACAAACTGGATGCATATGAAGCCATAGAACATGGAAATGACGATCCCTGGCAGCCAAAATACGATTTAAGCTTTGGAGGGCGTAGAATATTTTGTCAAACAGGTTATTCTGATCTCGGTAAGTTATTTTTTTATTTATGCATTAGTTTTTTAGCTTTTACGTTTCAAATTTCACCGTTTAATATTATAACTACTTTTGCTTTCTTTTCACGTGTTTTACATCGTTTTTGTCACAATTTTGGTAAAGTATTTACAATAATTATGCTCTTTTGGACTTGAATATGCTAGAAATTTACGGTATATAAACATTTACTTTGAAATAGCACAAACACACAAACTTAGAAGAAATAAAGAGCTGTTGTCATATTTCTAGTCTGTAATGGATCACTACGTCTGACGAAAAATGTCCACAGTATTATGCTGTATTATAGCTGGATGGTATTCTATTTAATTGATTATTTCTCTCCCCTGCCAACTAATATTTTAACCAATTGCATCGCAATTTACTTTATCGTTAGAACCAATCAGAACCAAATAAATCGACTATTTTCACTGACTATTTTAAATCGACTATCCATGCATGGTGCTGGATATTTATCTATGTTGACAGCAACTTGCATACCTGATGATATATGTATAATATTTAATAACGGCTATTGTCAAATATATTTATTGTCAGAGTACAAGCTAATATCTCGTGGAACGTTTCAAAATGAACCGAAAATAAACGTTATTTTATTGTTTATTTATTAATTTAAGTTATATTTAGGGCTCTAGAGATAATCTTATAACATATAACTCGACCTTAATAAATTAGCGCCTATTTATATTGTTACTAAATTTTACGTGTATTCTGCAATTTGTCTCGACCTAATTTTGTCATTAATAGTCTATTGAGATTATGAATTCCAAAATTATTTCTCGATAAATTAATATCAAAAATACTCAAAATTTGGACACAATAAAAATAGTCGACTATTTATCTATGTCTCATTATATTACCCTCGATTATGTCAAATACTTTCTGTATTCAACGGAACGTATTAATATTTAACATACACAAGAACCTTTTCGGTGACTTAGTCTGGTAATCTTTCTATCATACTCTGTCGTCGAATCACTGTAATATACAGGGCGAAAAATATTCTAACTCGCGTATCTGTAAAATAGAAAAACAATAGGTAAACGGGTGAGCGTAAATTTAATCATTGTTTAATTGGCTAAAACTCGAAACTCTCCCTGCGGGACATATTCCCATATTATATGCAGTTTGCCAGAGTTCTGCACCCACATGATTCTCGACCACGTAACGATTGTTATTTCGATAACGTATTTCAAGTTTTTTACATTATCCACCATTTAAGCTTTTTGCTCCTTTGATAAGAACTTTTTGTTCTACGATAAACGTTTTCTTTTTGTCATGCCTGTCGTAATTTTCTATTTGAGTTGACTGTTTCTCAGCCACTTCCGTACTTATTACTGCATAAGATTATAACGGTCTTGTTTGAAATTGTTTCTTGTCGAGAATGATGCAAGCGCTGTCAATGTTACGATTACAACTATTCCCGGAATTTATTATGCAGGGTTGGCTTTATGAATTGATACAATATGATGAATGTATTTCTAACAGTCATCAAATTTACTTCTTAGGTACAGCTCCAGTGCTCTTTGCTTCTAGTTTGTCGAGCATTTCATTGATTCATTTAAGACTTTTCATGATACTTTGTAAGGTAGCTAAGTCTGTCGATGATGAAGCATATGAGGATTCTACTGCTATATTTTGGGCTATTTGTAAAAAAGTGACCCCTGATCTGACTGGGTCTGAATTAATCGCGTTTGATTTTAGGTTTCTTGGTTTCAGAGACACTATCTTCTTTTCTGTAGCTCGTTAGCTACATCCTCTGTAATTTGCAGGATGAGCAGCTGATAGTTTGCAGGGGTACTCGTATGCCTAGGTTTTGTATGTTTAGCTTCAATTGAAATAAGGAAAGTACCAAGGATGACCTGGGCAGGCCAATTTTAATCGATTATTTTCGATTATTCAATTAGTCGATTATTTTCGATTAATCAAGAGATCGATTATTTTCCATTAATCAGTTACAGTGCAACCTCGATAATCCGAACCCACGCTAATCCGAATTACACTAATCAGATTGCAAATCGTGATGCGAACGCCGCGTCTTTAATCCGAACGCCGACAGGAAAAGACCTGCAGCGCGGCCCGCGTCGCCCATATGTAGTTTGATAATGCATTTAAATATACAAAAATCAATATACATACATAGATCTAAAGGTCTAAAAATGTGTAAGAGGTGTGTTATTGTATATTCGTTAATCCGAACAAGGTCTGACAATTAGGTGTTCGGATTAAAGAGGTTGCACTGTATTTTCAAATAATGAATTATTGATAAATACCTTCATTTACGGTTAATCGCTAAATTTATTATTTCCGATCAATCGGATAATCGATTATTAGAATAATCGATATATCTATATTATTTAATAAATACAAACTTAAATAATTATTACAAAGAAAATTGTTCGCTGCCCACAACACATCTTTTAATAGATCTATTTTTTGTTTGTTTTTCCTTATTAATTATTTCAATTAGCGATTAATCATTCGAATATAATAATTATTTTTGTAAAATCGACAATAATTAAAATATAAAAAATAGTCGATTAATCGAAAATAATCGGTTACTCGAAAATAATCGAAACGATCGATTTTTCTAAAAAAAAAAAAAAAAAAAAAAATCAAATCGATTAATAGTTGCCCTCCCCTAAGGATGACACATCATTGGAGAATTCGGCAACAATAAGCCAATTCATTGCATTACTTTTGATTTTAACGCCCTCTAGCTTGATAAATACTGTTACGTATTGTATAATGTGACACTTCATTTGAACACTAATTTTATTACTAATTCAATGGACCACATAATCTAAATATTTCCATATTGCGCACGGCTCCCATCTCTGCCTTTGTAAGTCTTGGCTTACTTTAGAAACATTTTTTTTTGTAAAAAACTCTTTATAATGAGGTAAACTGACAATAATTATTAATGTAACTTTTTTTTTATTTCTAGACAACATGAGAGATGAATCCGGCTATTTCGCTTCCAGAAACGGTGCCGACGAATCTTTTGACAAATTATTGAAGGAGATGCAAGATAAATTACGCAAACGCAAAGCTTGACAATTATTATTATTTTTTAAAAAATTAGAACAAAATTGGCATTTTCGTTTCCATTTATTAGAATGATTGCTGTTTAATTTTATTAAAAAAAAAAAGAAAAGTTTTGGCGTAAATACATATTATTACTTTTTTAATGTTTCATATTTATACAGAACATGTCCATATTTTGTTTTACATATTAATTTTTTAATAACGATTAACGAATATTTTTTTAAACTACCTCATAAACGTTTAATGAGAAAGAAAATATACTATTTTTTTTTAATAGTAAATACAAATTATAAACATATATAAGTAGGTACTTAAAAATTATTTTATATTATTTGTCCTTTTTTTATAAACATACCCCAAACATGTTTTTCTAGAATAACAAAGTATAGGACACACTGTATAATTTTTTAAAATAATTATCTTAGGTTTCTTTTTCAAATGAATCATTAAGAATCATAGAACATACCTTTTAAGCGATCAGATTAATTTGTTTTAAATATACTAAGTGACAGAAAATTCACACATATATCATCAATTTTCCCATCCTTCTATTTTCCATGTCACTAAGTATACATGTGTTTTATTGAAAACGATTAAAAACCATGACAACTAAATACATTTTGAAAATCTTTTTTATTATTATTATTATTATTTACTGTTGGATATGTTTTTCCCAATTGGGCTGTGTATTTTGTATTTGAAATATTTTTGTTATAGCTGAGTAAAATTATTAATGAATATATTCTGTATTATTTTTTTAACGCCACTTTATGTTGAATTTAAAAAAATGGCGGGAACATGTTAAAAATGTATTAATCAGGATCTAAAAGAATCTTGAAAAATAAGTACGTACCTACAGCTTATTAAAAAAAAAATATATAAGAAACCGGGAAAGTTCTTAACATTTTTTGAAGGAAGCGACATGTTGACATATTTTTACATGAAACGTCAAGCGCCTAATACATACACATAGTACGACATGACACGTTGCCAGATATTCTGAGATATGAAGTACTGTTGTGTTTCAAATATTTTTTGAGATATGTCAAGTCAGTAAAGTATTTTATGACGTAATTTTGAGAAAAATTAATCTTTTCCTATACGAGTTTATATAAAGTTGCGACCGTGAGAGGACCTGTAAAGAAGATGGAAAAGGTCCAAAGATTGTGAGAAATTAAAAGGATATTATTTAACCGATTCCTGAGTATAGTCGACGGCACGGATAAATTTTACTATTCCACAATTAAATATCAGTATTATTAATACATCTATATATAATTCACAAAGACGTCGCCAACGTTCAGACTTGTTGACAGTTGTCAAACTGTAAAAAAAGTGATGTGTTTAATTCTATTACAGCTAAACGACTGTGTACGTTTGGCACATAGTTACCTTCGAGCAAATATGCTGGAAGCTAATATCGAATAAATATTTTATGCCTGGCATCATCGTTCGACAAGCACGTTTCGGTTAGATTAATGTTGTACAGCTTAATTTTAGCGTCTCCTATTGATTGAACCGAGCCTTTCTCAACTTTCTATTTGTAATAGCATACGATAGCCGATAAGAAATGCCGGTACACGTGGATTGAGATATCCAATCGTAAGTCTGTGACTTTGCTCTATTCTAATTCGTTTTTCGCCACGCTTGGCTGTGTCATCGTTGGGTTGAGTGGACAATGTTTTGTTTATCCAGTGTTGTATTGACAATTACTGTTTGGATTTTTTAAAAAATGGCGTTTTGGAGGCCTTTTGAAAGTGATGGAAATAATGTAATCCTGAAGGTATGTAAATAATTGTAACTCTGATTGTACATTTTTTAAATAGTTAGAAGTCTGAGCAAGTTCTCCCAAAAAGAGAAAATAAAGTTACTCGACAGGTGCTGCCTCTAGTTAGCAACTACGTAAGAAATATACGTCCTGCAGTTTTGCATCCGGGAATAAACCAATTTATCTAAACTCGCAGGGCTGGCTGATGGCTGCTTTCAATAATTCCGTTGAAAAATAAAGATGGGCATTTCAGTTTATGCAGTTATAATTTATCTAAGCCCAATTAAGCTAATTTTAAAGTGAGCTGCATCAAAAGATTAATTAATTGAGTTAATTTATCATAACTCGCAAGGTATGAAATTTATTTCTACAATATTTGTATATTATTGTATTGTGTGCATGGCATAACATGTGTTTATTAGCCTACTTGTATGACAAGGGCATCAAAGTATGAACAAAGAAGTACTCAGCGGGTTTCAATTAATTTTCGGTTGGTATGCCTTTATTTTTGCGCCACCTTATGAACAATAGTTGAGTCGGATATATAATTATAAACACTGATTATTAAAAAATGTATAAAATCCAGATTCGTTTTTTCAATGCTGATTAATTTTTCAGTTTATCCGCGTTTGGCCAAAATGTGTATTCTGTATCAACATTTTTGGATCGATAAATATTAAACAAAACAGGTCAAGTACCATTTTACTCAAGATTTTTTATAGTTTAGATAATTTTTTACCACCTCTATTCTGTTCACTACCGTAAAGGGAGAGCCCAGCAGCTGAAAACCGTGAAAATAACTAAGAATCAGAAAGTACTTTAAAAATAGAATATAATGGTTTTCTACATTCTTATCAGAGGCGAAGAAAATTCTTGAATAATCAAAATTATAATGAGGAATACATAATGAGCTACGCATGGTTAGAGAATGCAAATCTCCTATTTATTATTTATCATATCTTTTTACTTTAATGAAGTTTGAAACATATAAGCTTAACCCTTTAACGTATGCACTGTAACCGCATGGTTACAATGAACGAAAACCTTCTTTAAATTTACTCCTCGTTTATCTAATCTTACCGTATGGATACAACCTTATATTGTTGGTTGCATATACAACAAATCGAATAATTCCTAAATGTTTTCGTTTGGCGCTTGTTTTTTTCACACGTTTCCTGTGTTATGCTGCTGAGAACTGTCAGTTGTGCTAAATAATATAACTTTAGTAAGAAATTTTATTTATTTAGATTTTTGTTTACATTTATAAATTTATAGAGGGACGAAACCAATTACTAAGATAAATATAATTTTAGTGGATATTTACATATACTACAAGAAATTAGATTTGAGTAGTATAAGTAACCATTTGGTTACACTGACCGATAAAAAAATTTCTTTTAGAAAAATATATGCTATATTCAAGGAAATATCGGCAGAATACTCAGATTTGGAAAACACTTAGAATCTCATGCAATTACGGTTTCAACTTCTTAAGGTAAAAAAAGAAAAGTTCAAGTAATTTTCAATTGGAGTAAAGACGACTTACCAACAAATGATTCGTTTTTGGAAAAAAGAGAACTTTTTATTCCCATAACCAGTGTAGAAGTACACAGATGTTATAAAAAATATTGTAGATTAAAGTGGAATAAAAAATTCTTCCTACGACTTTTACAATTAATTTTCTCCATTTTTTTTTTTGTTATTTTTTCGTTCAGAATAAATATTTTTTATAAATCTTTACTGGGTATATATTTTTTGTTCTTATTTAATTTTAAATAAAGTTTCAAAAAAGACTATGATGTTTTTTATAGTAATCTCTTAATTTTTTACTAAAAGCAAATTGTATAATTTTGTATTGCAACAATAATTACACAATAAAAAAATAAAGAATGATTGTTAAAAATGTCAACTCTATAAAAAAATTCTCCATTACAAAATTATAAAAAAAGAATGATTGTTAAAATTATTAACTTGATAGAAAAAATCCCGATTAAACTGAGAAGTGATATTTGAATGGTTGAAATAAAGTAATAAGTATTGGCAATAATCTAGCTAGGCTACAAAAAGTTAGTTAGGTAGCAAACATAAGTTATAATTTTTTTTCCGTAATAAATTATAATCATTTATATACCTAGTTAATAGAAAATATTTCAAATTTTTATTAGGCGGTCACTCCAGTTTATATAATTAGTCTAATCTATATAGTTATAAGCATGTATTAATTTTTTTTACCGAATTTTTATTAATAAAATTATCTATTTGATATTAATACAAATTAATTTTCTTTAGCACCACCCGCAATGTGCTATTTAAGCTGTTAGACGCGTCGTCACACAAATTTTGGGCATTTTAAAAACAAAATTGACTATAGTATACATAGTCAGTTTATTAATTGAGTGCCGATACTTGGGTGATTTTAACAGTCAATATATGTCGTAATAAACCTTTTAATTTTTGAGCTACAAGGTGTTACAATTTTGGTTTTTAAAAAGCAGTGACGTACCATTTTTTTCTTCAAAAATATTCAGTTCAAACCCCGTACGGACGTCACTGGTAAACAGTTAAAAAATCTTTTACGTCAGAAAATGCAAAATGTTCCTTAATGATTAAAAGGTGTGTACAAAATTTCATAAAAATATCTGGAGTGATAAAAGTTATTTTTCTTAAAACTGTAACACCCTGTAGCTCAAAAAGTAAGAGGTTTACGACATATCTTGGTATTTAAAACATTGATTGCCGGTCGTAAGAAAAAATACTTGTAAAATCGTCTACATTTTTGTGGCAAATGATCATAATATGTCGTACGCGTTTTATTTGTACATCAGTCTCCTTTTGAGTAGATGAGCTGTGTCCAGGCCGTTGGTGTTTATGCCGGTCGGCGTAGCCAGGTATGGATTGAAATTTTATGGTGGCTTCGAGAAGTCGTTCCTTTGTCTTCTTGTTGTCACGGCATTATTATTTGTTCATGTATGTGAAATTTGCTTCTAAGGTTTATAAAATACTACTGCTAGTCACGGCGAAATGAAAACAAACAAGACGCATTCACACAAACACCTCTTACCACAGCAATTACAAATGATTAGTGTTGTCCCCGATACGCGAGTTTTTTCCGACGGCATTTAATGTTTCAAATACAGAGGAGTGCGTTTAGAAACATCGCACGGCGCGTCTGGACCCTATTCTAATGTATGCGGTCAAACGCGCCGTCCGAGGTTTTTAAACGCACTCCTGTAGACCGTCGTCCGGCGGCCCTATCAATACTCGGATAGCCTACCGCCCTCACCAACAAATCAGTTTAGATTTTCGGCGACTGTCTTATATGTGAGAAGACCATGCCGCCGGAAGACTGTTTTCGTTTTATTAAATTAAACTACCGCCGGCGCGCGGGGGACGGCTAGCCGTACGTTTAATTAAAACATATATATTTATCATATTATAAAAAAACTCCTACGAAACGACCTCTTAATTTCAAAATTCATAGTAATGTTCTCCAAATATTTCAAATTCAAAACGGATGGATGAAGATTGAAGTTTTCAAAATTGTAGTCATTTACCAAAATATAGTTCAAATATCCATAAAAAACAAGAAAAAGAATATATTAGAGTTCGCAACACCGTGCACTTTATTTCCCGGTTTGATCACGTTCATCGGGTTTCGAGAATACGGTCAAACCACGTCGGGAGAAAAGCTGTAGCATGTGTTAAATTGAAAAGACACCACTGATGTGCCCAACTGTTTTTTGACATAATAAATGCATTTATAAATAAAAAAATGAAAAATTGACTGCATGTCCCTGGCTACGATTGTTTTAAATGAAATGTTGATTATGTTGAATGATTGACAATTTATTGTTGACAAAAATTCTAAATTACTGAATGAGGTTTAGTTTTAAACAGAATATTTTAATTTAGAACATTATTATTTTAAATTGGCATATTTTTTTTTCTACGCCC